AGCTACCTGACCCCTATGGAGGGAGGTATCCCTGAGGTAGTGGGGTTGGATTTCCATGACCACTCAGTGTCCCACCCATGGTTTTGAAGGGTTTCCTGCCCGATAGAAAGGAAACCAGAGGTGCATTCCGTTTTCCAAAGTGATCCCTGCTACAGCAGCAGGAGAGCAGGTCTCTCAGGGCGTATCCACCAGCCACTGGGCCTGTTTTGCGTTGATGTGCTGATGTATTTTGGGAAGCAGGTGCTTTCCCACTGCTCCCACATTGCAGCAGGTCACAGCCCCTCGGTGACCTCGCTGGGGTGGCTCCGTGTGACACGGTCACTCTCTGTCCCTTCCCACAGCAATCCTGTGTCAACTGCGGGCGGGAGGCCACCAACGAGTGCACGGGGTGCCACAAAGTCAACTACTGCTCCACATTCTGCCAGCGGAAGGTATGGCATGCCTGGGAGTCGGGATCCAGTTCCCTGGAGAGGGCTGTGGGACCCTAGGGAGAGTCACCTGATGGAGCAGAGCCGGGCAGCCAGCGCAGAATCCTGCGTGGGTCAAGCATTCCAAACCCCCTGCCAGTGGGATCACCAGCAGGGCTGTAGTCATGGGGCAGGTCTGCAAGTCGGGACAGGGTTAAAAGGGTAGGGAAGGTCCCAGGGTTTGCACACACCTTCCCAAAGGTGATCAAAAAATCAAGGTAACATTCCGCTTAGTCCAGTTCCACCTCTAATATTGACCCAGCGTGTGGCTCCTTTCCCCTCCATCACTGGTCTGGTTTGTGGGGCATTGGAGACCTGCTGCTCCCACCTGTGCTGGAGAAAGCGCTTCCCACACAGTGGCTTTTCCAAGGGCCTGTTCCCTTCATGGCCTCGCCCTCTGCTCTCCCCTCGCAGGACTGGAAGGACCACCAGCACATCTGCGGCCAGTCGGCCACGGTGACGGTGCAGGGTGACGAGGTGCACGTCACGGACAGTGTCATGGAGAAGGTCACCGTGTGAGCAAACTACCTCCGCAGCCGTTCCCGGGCACGCGGGGCCGGCTGGATCGGGACCCGGCGGAACGGTCTGTCCTGTGCCAACGGCACTGTTCCCTCTAGCAGAATCGTTTTTGATTGGCTTTTTGATACTGTGACAGCGTTTGTCTACTCCCGAGCCCCTTTCATAACTTTGGATAATACAGAGACTGTGAAAACCTCATCTGGAACACCCCGCCCACACGCACACTGGGATCCCCCTTTGCCTTTGGGAGGCTTTGCCTTTGCCTGACTGGATCCTCCACCATGTGGATTACAGCAATCTCCTCATCTCTCTTGAGATTAATCTAAAGCAGGTGCTGCAAGGAGATGTGCCAGTATTTCCTCCTCCCGGGGCCTCCCTACCTCTTGTTTGAGAAGAGAAATGAACCTTTGGCTTATTTAATTGCCTTGACAGAGTCGGTACAAGTTCTTAGTTTGGCTTTGGAAGGATTTTTGTTTTTCCTGTGTTCCCTCTGTGCTAGGCAAATTTGGAACACGTTGGAGCTTCTGCATTTAAATACCATTGAAAAACAACACGTTGTTCAATAAAATGCAGTGAAAGCACGAGCGAGCCCAGCGGTTCCCTTTAATCCCCAGGGCAGCACTCGAGGGTGCAGGTACTTGCACAGGTGGGTGTGGTGGCAGGTACACGTGTGTCCATGTTCCCCTGTCTGCCTGGGAGGTGTTTGCTCCGCAGGGAAGCACAGCCTCATCCCACGGCGTGCCTGGAATGTCGCTCGTAGCATCCACCTGGCCAGAATCAGATCGGATGAAGCCCGAGGTGAGTGCACGTGGATATGGGGCTGTCCTGTCTCTGCCCCACAGGAGCTGCTGATTAGAGATGTGACCATTAGGGAGTTATTTGCTTTGTTCACTGCAACAAAATCATTCTAATTATTAATGTACTTCTTTAATAATTAAGCTGTTGTGGTTGGAGATTTTGGAGGACTCTTGGCAGGCGCGCAAACCTCTGGTTGGTGGTTTGGGTTTGTTTTTAGCTTCAGGCATAGCCCCTGTGAGGGGTCACTTGTCCTGGCTGGTTGTTCAGTTGAGGGGTCACAGTCCATCCCCCTGAGGGGTCACAGCCCCTGTGAGTGTCACTTGTCCTGGCTGTTGTTCACTCTGGTTTTGTGCTGGTGGATGAGGATGGTTGTTCAGCTGCTGCTCCAGGAAGGGTCAGCTGAACCACGGAGTGACCCAACCCAGCATCACACACACACTGTCGAAAGGAGAACATTCTGTCCAGAGCTACAGGAAAGTTAATAAGAGAGAAAAATGCAGTGGAAAAGACTTAAGTCGTAGACTGGAGGTCTCTGACAAATCCGTGGAAAGCCAAGCAGGAACTGAGGCAGGATGGGAACAGAAATTACCTGTGATACTCCTGGGAAGGAAAGAACAGGCAACTCCTTCCATTCCCACAGCAAAATGCCCACTCCTGCTTCCCAGAGTAATACTCAAGTACTGGCGATGGTTTCTGCTCACAGTAAAGTGCTGATTTCCTGTTTTCTAGAGCATGGAGACAATTAGTTAATTGAGAAGACAGTCTTAATTGAGCCCCTGGTAACACAGCTCATTCCCAGGGTTTCTTGTGTCCCGCATTCGGACGCAGCGAAGGCATCTCCAAAGTGGCACCTCTGGAGTGCTAAAGCTGCACTTCCAGCATCAAACGAGGCTTTTGGTTGCAAAGTATTCTTGTTGCTTGACATCCCTGTCCAGCACGGCCGGTGTGAGCAGCAGAGCTCCTCCTGGATTGAGGACAAGGCAGCTCCATGGATGGGTGAGCTGGGACACCAGGAATGGGCTTGGGAGGGGCCTGAGGCAGCAACGGAGTCTCCACTGTCCTTATCCAGTGGCTGTCCTTATCCAACCCACTGTCCTTGTCCAATAGCTTGTGGCCAGGTATAGTCAAGCCTCGGTCACTGTTGGAATTTTGGCTTTACTGCACCTTGTAAGGGGAAAAAATTTGGAAGAAAGTGGGGCAACTTCTCTAAATTGCAGAAGTGTAGGTGTGACTCAGCTGCCATTAAAGCTCTCGGGGAGCTTCCCACTGGGCCCCAGTACCTGGGGCAGCTGCACCCCAACCAGGCAGTGACAGAGCTGAGAAAGGCACAGGATAATCCCATGGGAATTGAATCTGTCTGTTTGCTGAGGAGAAATTCATTGAGCCATTGCTATTCTTAGTCAAAGGAACACTCAAGACCTCCCTGCAGTACTCTTTTCCGTTTAGTTTCCAAGCAAATTTCCCCCCTGGAAAGCAACAATCCTGTACAAAATCATGACTTGGAAGATTGTAATTTGTGCAATATTCCTTTTCTCCCCTCCGAGCCTCAGTGACAGGCATTGCTTGGTCCTACTGGCTGTTGCCAGCCCAGGTTCACCTAAAGGCATGAAAGATTTTTTTCCTGTGGCTGGAAATGGTTCCTGGCAGGAATCCTATGGCTTGATAAGGAATTCTGGAGCACTAGCAACGGTGCCTTTGTAGGACCCCTGTTAAACATGAGTGAAATCAAGCTTTGGATTTAAAATTATCAAGAGCAAGGGGAAAGGAGGTTGCACAGGTAGATGTCACCTCACAGCCCTGTGTAATGCCACCCCAGAAGCCAGAAGACTAGAAATTATTATTATTATCCCTGCTTACATCAAATGTGAAAAAAGAGCCTGGAAACCTGCAGTTTCCAGTGGGAAGAGGATCTGAGCTGCATTCAGTGGTACTCACCTGTGACACCTTACTACAGGGAGCTGGGGAGCAGCTTCCTTGGGCCGCCTTCCTTCTCCTCCTCCTCCTCCCCTCCTCCCCAACAAAGACAGCAGGCCAGGGACAGAAATAGATCTTTAATGAACTATACAAAAAATCACCTGGTGGTTCCTGCTCCCTGGAGGCTCCTCCTCCTCACCAGTCCCAGAGGGCTCAGCAGAAGAGGTGCAAGACTTTGCGGAAGAAGTTCCTGAACTCGGCGTTGAACACGGTGTAAATGATGGGGTTGAGAGCACTGTTGACATAGCCCAGCCAAGTGACAGTGCTGGTGACTTGAGTGGGGATGGCACAGGACTTGCAGAGAGCCCTGGTAATGTGCACCACAAAGAAAGGTGTCCAGCAGAAGAGGAAAGCACCTACCAGGGCAGTAAAGAGAGAAGGTGATGGGAACATTCAAAAGGGTTTAGTTTAACAAAGCTCGGGCCAAACAAGACAGAGGCAGCTCAGAGTGCTCAGGGAACAGGCAGCAGCTGTGCTGACATGTGGAGCTGGGCCTATGCCCAGACGAAAAATTGGGATGTCTTTCCTGTCACAAATATTGATGAAAAGTCTAAAGTTAGTCTCACTTTGGCTTTGAATGTAAGATACTGGCAGTCAAAGGTTTGCCTTGAAGGAAACTTGGGTTATCAACTACATGCATTCTCTCCCAGGGGTGGGAGTTGTTGGCACTGCTCTGGCACCCCGGATCCACACAGGTCCCTGCCCTGTGTGAGACAAGGTGGCACATTTCCCACCCTGCCCAGCCCTTCCCTGCGGATACTCACCGACGACGACCGGCAGCACCCGCATGGCCTTGCGCTCCCGGCCATTGATCTTGGCCCGCTTCCGCCCGTGCCCCGGGTGTGGATACCTGAGGTGTGGGTAGGACACAGTCTGGATCCCATTGCTCATCCCACAGTCCCCAGGGAGGCCAGTGAGGCTGTAGGGGCTGCACTCCGGTGGCCCCAGCCGGCTCTGCTCCCTCTCCAGGAAGGTGGGGGGGTGGTACAGCTTCCTGTTGGCCCCATAGATGCAGCCCCTCAGCTTGGCCTTCCTGGCCTCTTCCCAGCGCTTGAGTCCTTGGAACATGCCGCAGTACAGCACCAGCATGACGGGGCACGGGATGAAGAAGGAGCAGATGGAGGAGTACACGATGTAGTTGTCATCCTCCAGCTGGCACAGGCTGGGGTCCCGGTTTGGGACGTTGTTGAGGCCAAATATGACAGGAGATGCTACAGCAAAGGCGAATATCCAGGTGGTGGATATCAGGATCAGCTGCCGCAGGTCGATCTGTCGCCGGTTGTAGTTGAGCGGGACTTGAACGGCGATGAACCTGCCAACACAGCCCCGGGTGAGCCAGGCCTAGCCTGGGGGTGGCACTGCCCGTGAGGGGACCGAGAGGCCCCAGAGCTCTTTGTCCCTGTCCTTCCCCCCCAGGTATTTACACAGCCAAGGCATGGGCTACAACCAGAGCACCCGAGGGGCAGCTCTGCTTCCCCACACAGCGGTGCTTTCAGCGTGGCCACCCCTGATGGGACACAAAGCTTGGGATGGAGGATGGTAGGGCAGAGCACCCCCACTTGGGGGAGGGCAGGATCCTCCCGCCGTGGGAGCCTGGCAAGGGTGTATGGAAGTGGCGTGATGCCCTGACACAGCCAGAGCAGGCAGGCACTCACCGGTCCACGCTGATCGCACACAGGTTGAAGATGGACGCCGTGCACAGCATCACGTCCATGGTCATCAGGGCATCACACAGCACCGTGCTCAGGGACCACACACCTCCCTGGAACTGGAAAGATCCCAGGGTCAGCAGATGCCTTTAAAGTGACAGGGAACACCTCTGTGCCTGGGTGCCTCAGCCACTCCCGGTTCCTCCAGACAAGCAGCCCAAGGCCGAGCGCTCCTCCCGTGGCACGATGCTCCTGGCATGGCAGTGGCACACAGGAGTCAGCCCCGTATATGAGCTCACAGCCTGCCCAGGGCTGGCAGGAGAACTGAGCCCACAGAGCATCAGCACAACCAGGTGAGTTGTGCTGGGCAGAGCAATGGACACAGGATGGCCCCCACTGCCTTGGGTGAGTGCAGGAGCCCCCACCCTCCTCACACCCCCAGAGCCTCCCCAGCACCACGGTCGCTGCACAGCACCACTGGCTTGGTCCCTGAGGCAGCAAGTGGCAGAGCACAAAGTTCCTCTTCCACTTTCAGGTCCCCATAGCTCCAATGTACTGTTTGCAGACAATGTGAACTGTTTCCCTTTGTTAACACAACTGTTCTGTCCTGGCAGGCAAAGCACAAGTCCAGCCCATGGAGACCAGGGTCAGGCAGTGAGATAGAATCTCTGGCTCTCCCTGCACAGTCCCAGTGCCAGGGCAGAGCAGCACTGACCAGTGCTGTCACAGCTCCAGACGACTGGAAGCGTTGATTGCCATGCTTTGTGATTTTCAGCTTGGTCATCTTGGCCAGGGGCACAGCTCTGCACAGCCCCTGGCAGAGGACAGGCAGCAGGACAGGCAGCAGGACAGCAGTGGCTGATGCTGGTACAGAGACTACTTGCAGCAGTTTGTTCCAAGCGAGCGCTCATCTCACCCAGGTACAAACCCAGCCTGTTGGTTTAGCATTAAAGCACTTTTTAGGCTGATACAGAAATACACCCCCTCAATCCCATTCCAGTGCCATTATTCCAGTGAGCTCCTTCTGCACAGGCAGAGTCCTGTCTGTGTGCCCACACCTGCACAGGTAACCAGGAGGCTCCATGGGCTGTTCCCATTAGAGCAGCAGGGAATTTTCCTCCCGGTTTGTGCCTGTCAGGAAAACTCCACCATCCTTTGGGTCCCTCTGCAGGGAGAGGTTCACTTAAGAACCAAACACACCGTACAAATAAGTGTGATTTTAGCTGGGAAACAAAGTGTTCTGTAGCAATGGCCCCTTGTCATGCAAACTATCAAACACTCTCTATTTGCTCTTATTAGAACATAAATGATAAATATCACTATAGTATATATTGCTACATGTAATATATTTAATTTACTATATATGTTTACCTATAAGTAATGTGCATCATCTAAGGTGTATAATTTACTATATATTTTTATCTATAGGAAATGCACTACATAACAATAATTTTTGTATCTATACATATAAATCCCAGGGACTTATTCCTCTGTAGCAGCAGTCAGGCAGTGCTCGTGGGGTGTAGTGTTGCTGCCCTCGTGCAGGGTTCAGGAAGCAGGTATGGATTTGCTCCTGTACAGGTGCTAAACAGGAGGTTCTGGTTTCATTTATCCCAGCACAGAGCAGAGCCATGTGGGGAACACACTCCACGGAACAATGGGAAGGTGCCAAAACCCCTGCCCCTGCCAGGAGCAGGGCAGGCAGCTCTGTGGGGATTAATACCAGGCAGTGGTGATGTCAGGCCCAGGATTACGATTAGAGGAGCTGTAAAGCCAAAGGAGACTCTGAAGTAGCTGTCTGGCTATTTTTGTACAGCATCTCCTTGAGATACCTCCAGGGGAGGGCTGGAGTGAGACCTGAATGCTTCATTCAGCCTCTTCTCCAGCACAGAGCAGCCACCCCAAACTGAATTTGGAACCTGAATCATCAAAACCCAAATTTTTGCCGAGCTTACTGGGATCCTGACAAGTTCGGTTCAGTTTATGAGAGAGAAAATTTGATTTTGGGCTACAGTTTTCCAAACCTGTTTTTGATTTGGGGGAACTAATTGATTCTGAAAAGGACAAGAGCTCTCAGGCTGCAGCACCTTCAGAGGACGTGACATTCAAGTTGGGTACCTGGAAAATGCTATAAACCCTTCCCTTTCTCCACCAATCCCCAAGACTCTGGCTTTGGGGAAGGTGCTGGGAGAGAACTTTCCATTACATGGTGTTTGCCACCTGCCCACCTTACAAAACGTGCCAAGGACCCCTCAGAAGGGAGAGTGACTTTGGATTAGAGGCTTTGCTGGGCCATGTGATTAAGGGGTACATAATGACAGGAGACTGCAGCAGATTAGCCCATCCAGGTACACAGTGTAAAGCTTTAGGGATCACACACAGCACAAACTGCCTTTAGGAAGTGCTCCAGAGCAGCTCCACCTTCAGTGGCTCTTGGGGTTCTCCCCTTTTCTGGAATACAAAGAAGTCATGGAGAAGATTTTATAGGACGGTGGATGGCAGGAGGCAGACTTGGCTTCTCAAACACCCTTGCAGCTGCCTTCCTAGTCGGCCCATTTTGGTATCCATATTCCTAAGCTCAGCTGATTGGTAAGGAAAAATCTGCCTTCTGAACTGGCCTGATGCCAGAAGAGCTCTTACACCTCCAGTGCTCCTGAGGCCGTGAGCCAGGACAGGGCCAAAGGTTCTGGTTGTATTTCCTGTGGTACCAACTCTCGTCTCAGTCCTGCCGCATGCAGGGAACAGCAGGAGCCCGAAAGGGAATTAGATGTCCAGCTGGACTTTGGACAAGCCTCTGCCTCAGCTCAGCCATGGCTCGAGGGCATGGCATGGACTGAGAACGCTGTGGCACCAACTGGAAGAGGAATAATCCTTGCCAGTGGGCACAGTCCAGCATCAGAGCCAAAGAATTGTCCCCGTGCCCCCAGACGCTGACACGGGGCCTTTTGTCATGAGCTGTGACAGCTGCAGCATTCCCCAGAAGACAGGACCCAGCCTGCAAGGGGAGAGGGAGGGGAGGGAATAGGACACAAGACAAAGGTGCCTCATGTCTGCTCTAATGTCCTTTCTTGACCTAAATTGTTGAGGTCAAGGTTTTTCAGACATGAGGAGCAAGTCTGATCATCCACCTGAGATATTACGGGGGCCTGAAATTCCAGGACACCTCTCCCAGTTACTGGTGCCTGAAAATAAACCCCTGAGTGCTGATTTGTAACTGCTGGCCTGTCTCACCTCCCCAGTATTTTGTGTGGCTCAGACATTAGCCAGGTACAGAAGAACATCTATTTCCACTAAAGCTCTAAGATTCCAGGAAAGACTAATCCTGAATCCTGCTGCAAACAGGCTGACGTGCATTCACAGAGAGCCACGGGAAATTTGGAGAGGATAAAGGTCTGGTGTCTCATCAGAACACCTGCATCATTAGGCACACATAAGAAAGTGCAAGAAAAGAGATCTTTTGATGCCATACCACTGGAAGTTTTAGGCAGAGCAGCATCACCCTCACCAGGAAAACAGCTCGTGTCATTTGTCCTGGCTGCTCCACCGCTGTGCCCGCTGGGAAACACTCATCTTCCCTGACCTGGAGAAGGAGCCAGGTGAACATGCAAATCTGCTAAAACTGTTTCCTCTTTTCCATAATCACTTACACGGATCTTAGTGGCAAAGATGTTTACATAACCAGCACCCTCAGCTCCTGCCAGAGGCTTCCTGGCTCAGGCCTGGCTCAACTCCGGCACTCGGGGATTAGGAGAGAGCTGCTCAGAGGAGCACAGCAGGCACAGGGACAGGCACAGGGACAGGTACAGGGACAGGGACAGGCAGAGGGACAGGTACAGGTGTGCTCCACAGCACAGTCCAGCTGGGGAAGTGGTCCTGGTACTGGCCCTAATTGCTGGGATGCCTCTGCTTACTGAGGATGGTATAAACTGCTGCTGTGGCTCCTGCCAGTGTCACAGAGTCTTTGGGACTCCAGCCATTGTCACAGCCCTTGGGCAGAGAGAGGAAGCAGTTACACACCAGGCCAAGCCTTTGGGGGTGTGCTGCTCCTTCCCAAAGCCACCCAGAGCCTGGTGATATCCTGGGTACCTCCACAGCACCTGTAGCTCTGCTTCCTCAGGTAACCCCTGTTTCAGTGCTACCAACTCTCCAGGCACATTCTAGTATCTTCTTCTGGCCTCTCTTCACATTTAGGTGGAACTTGGCTCCTCAGGAATTACTGTGGATGCCTGGGAGTGCCCCAGGCCTGCTCAGCTACAAAAGTATCTGAGAAGAATGGTAAAGAATGTGCCTTTCTAACCAGAAAAACTGAGGTAACAAAGGAAAAGCAAATCCACCAAAACCAATGGCACAGTGGAAAAAGAGGGCATCTAATGTTTCTCTTCTTCACTGGTTCTTCTCATGGTCCCCTGATGAACCTGTCACTCCATAATACCTGTTCCAGAGAGGTCACAATGTCCTGCAAAATCCCAGGACCAGGCAGAGACCATCCTAAGCCCTAATCCACAGCCTGTCTTGCCTAAGGATGCTCAGCATGGCATGGGAGAGAGGGGAGATGTTCTCCCACGACTGAGAAAAAGGTCCACACCACCAGCTACCACAAGGGTGGGTGGAAACACCTCGTATTTTGCCCTGTGGATGTTTTCATCCACTTGAGCAGGGAAGAGCCCCCAGCTGGTACTAACGGGCAGGTTCCAGGGAGCCCCCTCACCCACCCAACAAAATCCCCCACAAGCACAAGGCTTTACCCATCCCTGGCAGTAATCATTTATCTCCCTGTTACAGAGAGAACCACTCAGCCTCAGGAGCTGCTGGCCCGGCCCGGGGCAGACGCCCCAGGGCACCTCCACTCGGGGCATCTCCACTCGGTGTGTTTGCGGCTCGGAGGGCAAGGCAGCCCCTGGCCCCGTGGCCCCGGTGGCACTCGCAGGTAAGAGCCGCGGTGCTCCGAACGCCACACGAGCATCGCGGGGCGCAGGGGCTGTCCCGAGGGCGCTGGCACTCCCGGACCGGCGGGATGGAGGTGGGGAACAAGCCCGGAAAGCGGCTCTGCCCCTCGGTGCTTGGGCTCTCGCCCATCCCACCGCGCAGCCCCGTAACCTTCAGGCTCCGCGGGCGCACAAACCACAGCCCCCGGTGCCCCGGGGACCCCCGGGCAGCCTCACCTCGGAGTAGACGTAGAGGGGCAGGACGAGGAGGGCGAGCAGCAGGTCGGCCACGGCGAGGCTGACGATGAAGTAGTTGGTGGTGGTCTTGAGCGCCCGCTCGGTGCACACGCTCAGACAGACCAGCCCGTTGCCGCCGACGATGAGGAGGATGAGGAGGATGCCGAGCACCAGCGCGGCGATGCTGTGGCCGGCGGCGGGCGGGGGTCCGGCCGTGCCGTTGCCCATGGCCCCGCGGCGCTGCCCCCGCAGCCCGGGGAGCCGGGCCGGCCGCCGGGAGTGCCCGCCGAGCCGCGGGAGGAGCCTCCGCCGCCGCCCCGCCCGGCCCGGCCCGGCCCCGCGGGGACAACTGGGTCACCAAGCGGCTTAGGGGGCGCCGGGGGAGGGGGGGCAGGCTCCCGGTGTCCCGGCTCCCCGTGTCCCGGTGTCCCGTCCCCCGCCGCGCCCCCGGGAGCTCTCGCCGCGGTCTCGCAGGGTGGTGTTCTCTGAAGCACTGTGAGAGGAAAGACTTTATTACAGGTTGGGCAGATAACTGGGAAATTGTATGCCGAGGTATGTGCAGAACCTGGTAATGTTTAAGTGTTTAACCTGAGTGAGGGTCCAGAGAGTCCATAGCTAAATTACTGCCAAGACAGGATCCTGTGAGCATCTTGGAGCACAGAGTAAGGATTCAAAGTGGTCTTGATAAGCTGGAGAAACTGGCAAATGCAGGATGCAACTCCAAAGGAATTTTGTGCCTTACCTGTGCTTGGGCAGTAATAATCAACTGCAGAAATGCAGGACTGAGGAAGAAAGCAGACAGGCAGCAAGTGTGGGAGCAAAGGGAGGGTGGCAGCTGGACACAAGGGCTGGGGTGTTTCATTGCTGAAAATGAGAGAAAAATGCTGTTTGAGGGGTACCTGTGCACCTTCAGGGTCAGGCAGGAAAGACAGGGGAGCTGTGACCCCTCATTTCTAGCCCAGATTGCTTGGGAGATGTGGGACCTGATCCAGACTCTGTGGGCATCTGTCCAGCTGTACCACCAAGCCTCAGCCCAGATGTTAATGCCAGGAAAGCATTCAGATCAGCCTGGGCTTTGTGGAAGGCACTGGGAAGAGAAGGCATAGCAAGAAAGGGACGTTTACACTCCATGGAGGGGGGAAATTGTATTATTGGAAGCTTTTTATAAGACAAAGAGCTTCTAAGATGTATTTACAGGCTCCAGCTCTCGGAATTTCATCCAAACTATTGAGACCTGTGAGACAACTGCCACCCTTGTTCCCTCCAGTTCCCCACTCTTTTTTGGAAAAGGCCATGGTTACCCTCAGCAGGTGCAGCATGGAAAGGCCAGAGCCCAGGTTTCAGCCATGGGACACCGATCCAGGTCCTTCCCTTGGAGTGGATTAACAGCAGCAGCTCCACACAGTCTGTTCTGCCCAACAGCCACAGCTCCACAATTCCATACAGGAGGAGGAGAAAATCCCCTTGGTTTAAGCACTTTGCTGACAGTCTGGCTTGCCAAGTTCTGTCTCCAGAGGTGTGGCTTCCAGCCCTGTTCTAAAGCTGTAAGAATGCCATTCCTTTAGTAGCTAGGGAGCTGTGTCACCCCTCTCTCCCATCCCAGGGTAGGTTTGCCATCCTCACACTGACCCAAATACCCATGGATTTGTCTGTTCATCTCCCTCTTCCAGTGTGCAGAGAGAGGAGAGACACTTCCACCTGCTCTGAGTGGGCCCCAAACTCCTACCAGCACTGGAGTGGGTACTCATGTGCATTCCATTGGGAATGGTTTGTCTTGGACTCAGGTGGGCACAAGTGTGGCTGCACATCCATCACATCAGGAGCTCGTTTGTGGGACCTCATTTGTTGGGAAGTTCAGACAAGGCAGATGGTTTCCACCACCTGGTCACAGCTTTTCCCAACCGTGGTTGGTCCCTAAAACCTGACTCCTGGCACATCTTCCCCTCAGCAAGGAGCTGGGACAGCAGAACTACTTTTGTTAGAGCCCTTTTTACTCTGAGAAATCAACTCAAATTAGTCCAAGGAGGCCCTGAAGCGCACTAGTGAAACTGTGTGGACAGAATACTGTTAATTTATTTATGTTTAAACTACCTGAGCAGCCAAAAGAGCAGGACTGAAGTGTGACTGCTGCCCTGCCTTCCCACAGGGATTAATGCCATTTATCTAATCCCCTTCAACAGTTAATTTACTTTCATTATCTCTATTTTTCCTGTGGGTTAGTGCTGAATGACTCTTGATTCTCAGTATGGAAGCCCATATTCCAGACTAACAGGGCCTTAATCCTAGAGACTAGTTTAATCCTGGCGTGGATTAAACTAATGTGAAATAAGGCTTTTGACTTCAAAAAACGAGTATCCATGCAAAGAACTAATTAGGACAGTGCTTCCATGGCAAACAGGCTGCAGACATTAGACACAATTCCTTTCTTGGATCAGAGCTGCCCTCCTTGCAGAGGAGAAGGAAGGTCTCTCACACATCCACATATTGGAAGAGGTTGTCACTCAAGGAAAAGCAGGAGGCAGAGGACAGTCACCCTCGTGGGTCACCCTCGTGGAAAGCCAGAGGAATTATGTCAAAGTGAGGACTGGGAATGCTTAGAGCACCTTTGGAGAGGCTCTGGTGTGGTTGGTGCTTTGTGACAACCCTTCTTTGCTTGGCTGCACATCCCGCGGTGTCCTGGGTCCCCACCCCGCCGTGAGGGCTCCGGGCAGGAGGTGAAGGGGCTGGGGAAGCCACCACGGCTGCTCCTTGAGTCAGGAAAATGGCAGTGCCGGGAAAACACCCCGACCAACAAAGGAGTGACACATCTGCCTGGTCTGGGGGTTTGGACTGTTTGTAAGAGGAGCTCAGGGAGATGAGCAGCGTGGTTTGTGGCTGTGGTGGAGCTGGTCCCCTGCCAGGGAGCCCAGAGGGGTCCCCCAGACACTCTCCCAGGATGAATTAATTGAGGATTTGATTCCCAGCCAGTTCAAAGGATCAGGAAGGTGACAAAGTGAGGCATCTGTCAGAGTCTCCAAAAGGAGATGGAGCTTTTATCAACATATTTTCTCACATCTGAGACACTGAATGTTTAAATAGAAAAGGGGAACAATGTGGCTGCCAAAGTTTCAGCACAGATGTGCCAAACTCGGGTGATGAATAGCGCCCTGATAGCCGGGAGCAGCATTCCCGGCTGTCTTCAGGTTCAGGACAAAGGGAGGAAAACAAAGAGCTCTTAAAGCCAATCGTGTTCCTTTGATTTGCCGTATTGACAAGGGCAATTCTCTGTGAGAGTCTCCTCGGCAGTACAGCCGCCCAGCTTTCCAATCTCCTGTAATGCATTTCCCAGAAAAGAGGCAGGGGCAGCATCCTGCCTCAGGTGAGGCTTTGCAGGAGAGGGAGGAGGATGGCACGGCTCTCTGGGCTCTCCGGGCTGCCCAGGCTCTGCCAGTCCCCCTGTGAGAAGCTGCAGGAATTTATGTACACACTGAGTGGGTCTTTTGACATTTACCTTTCTGATAAGTTATGATAAATCCCTGTAAGATGTAAAAACTAATGCTAGTGGTTAGCTGGGGGGATGAAACTATGGAGAAAATGCCTGGATTTTCCATCTTTGCTTGGAGCCAAAACTAGGTGTTTTTGTGGATGCCACGTTTCAGCTTAACCCCATCACTGATCTCACACAAGAGTAACCTGGTGATATACAAGGGATACGAGGGTTTGTGGCACAAGGCAGATCAAATAACATAGTTCAAAAGCCCCTACCGGTTTTAAAACGTCAGTGAGTTTATTTAAGTCACTTGTCAGGGAAAACCTCCTGGGCAAGGGGAGAAGTGGAAGGCAACACAGGCAGGGGAAGGCAACACAGGCAGGGAAAGGCAACACAGGCAGGGAAAGGCATGCCTGGGAGCAGCAAGCACCTGTAAATGCAGCTCCCTCCACCCTCCCCTTGACAAAGCCTGTTCCTGTTCCCCTGGAAGGGGTGCCCTTTCAGGAAAAGCCCCTTCCTGCTCCCCTGGACGTCCTCGCAGGTCCCTGGCACAGCCCAGGGGGGGATGCAGCCGAAGCAGCCGCAGCAGCTGTGCCAGGAGCTGCTGTGCTCAGTGCTGGCACGGCACACCTGGCACAGCTGGGTGCCGTTCTTCTCATTCCAATGAATTCCCTGAAGTGCTTTCCCCTCTTCCCCAGACACAGCAAACAGCTGGAGGCCGGGATTGCGCCGCTGATGCCACTTGGAGCCGTGACAGGGCCAGAACACACAGGGGAGTTCTGTGTGCAGGGACAGGGAGCAGTGCTGGGCCAGGAGGGCAAGGGTGGCCAGAGCAGCCCTGGGAGGAAGCCACCCAGTCCTGTCCCACCGTGTCCCTGCAGTGGGATGGGTTGTTCCACCTGTGCAGCCACCCTGGGGACACTGCCTGGGGGCAGGCAGGGTACTCCCACTTGGGCAGCGCTCAGGGAGGTTGGGAGGGAGTTCCAAAGGGTGTAAAGGTCAGCAAGTGCTTGATGGGGGCAGCAGCTCGTCTTTAAAAGGCTCTTTGGTCTTCTGCCCTTGGCCCGGGATGATGGTGCCAGCCATGGAGGTAACCAATGTCCAGCACTTTCCCTCCTGATTTCAGAGCAAGTGGGCACACTCCAGGTGTGTCCCATGACCATACAGGACTCTAATTTTCCTCTTCCTTCTCCCAAGCCCACCTACAGCTGCCTTGCTCACCCCTTGCCGCCATCCCGCTCTTCCCCCTTGCAGCCAAAATCACAAAATCAGGTGGTAAAGATTAAAACCACTCCTGAAAGCATCCTGTGCAAGAAAGGAGCATTTAGAAGGCTAAATCCTCCAATCCCCTTATTCCAATTAGGGTCCTTTCTCTTACAGAGCTGGGAGTGATGCAAGGAAATGCCTCCAAGCCGCTCCCCGCTGGCAGCAGCGTCACCGTCAGCTCAGGGCCTGGGCAGGGCTCACCTGCAGACACACAGAGACAACCCCATGCCCACATGGCCTCACACAGGTATGGCAAGGAGGGGAAAAGGGAATGGGGGAGGTAGAAGTTCCTGAACAACCCCTAAGCTGATTAAAGGGTATTTTACGTAGGCAGGGTTTAGCTGTGCAGCTCCTCGCACCATCTGACCTCAATAAACTTCCCCTGCCATGGGCTGGGGCTGCCACTGGATGGGGCCCAGCCTGTGCTGGGCTCCTCAAAGGCTGGCTGCCCCTGGACAGCTTCCTCAGGGCTGGGGACACCACTGCTGGATGTGGGGGGGATGAGATGGTCCCTCCCCAGCCTCCTCAGCCTGGCTTGGCCCTTGTGCTCTTTGCCATTCCAATGCCACAGACCTCAAGGGAGCTGTGCAGAGGCTGTAGGAGCATTTGGGGATGTGATGTCTCCGTGAAGAAGAGCAGCTCCAGCAGATCCTGGGGCCTGAACTCTGAACAGGCTGGCAAGGATTGGACAAACCTTGTAAGGGCTGCCCAGGATAAACAGCAACCCCAAAGGCTGGGGGGGCTTTCCTGCTCCAAGGCAGGAGCAACAATGTCCACATGACAATAGCAACATTTATCCAGCCTGTTCTTATGAGTGCAGCCACAGTGCTCCTCCAGTCAAAGGTCTTTTTTGATCTCCTGTACCAATTTCTTAGGAGTGTGAATGGGAATTTCTTCCTTTCAGAACTTGGACTTACCCTGCAAAGCTCCGAGTGCTGATTTTGGAGAGTCTGTCTGCATCCTCCCTGTGGTGTGGGCCAGGATATGCAGCTTTGTGATGAAACCCTCTCTTTTCCAAAGTGCAGTTTTCTGTCTTTACCTCCACCACAGAAAAAGGTACTCTCTTAAATATTGCAAAATTTGGGACTAAAACATTTAATGTGGTCCTGAGATGCTGCATTTCACACTGTGGGTTTGGTGAGCCCTCCTGCTGTAAAGAGGAGGAAAAAGGCCTTCCTCAGTTCCACTCTCAGCTTGGATGCCTTTGGGACAGGTCACCTTGGGAGCAGGAACCAGAGCTTGGGTATTGTAGGGGGGTGGCCCCTCTGTATCATAATGTCTGCTCTCTGCTGCTCACGAGGGTGTCCCCAGCCATCAGCGTGGTGCTGGGAATAGCCCTGGCACCCGTGGCAGCTGGATTTACTTAATGCATGCCACCACAGGGCTCTGCACCCTGTGGTGCATGTCAGTTGGTGTCACCTTAAGCACAGGTGACTGCACAGAGATCCTGGTGGCTTTACAGCTGGCAGTGTCCTCAGGGCAGCTCAGGGGTGGCCCCATGGCCATCACACGTCCTTTCTCCATCCTGTCCCGGAGTGTCTCTCGCTGCCCTCTCCAAGGAGTGTGGATGCACACTCAGCACTCCTCACTTTGCTCCAGCCCCTTAGAGCAGTGTTTTGTCCCATGGGCTGGTGGTGGCTGGGATCAGTGCAGCCCTGACTTCCAGAGGCTGCAGGTGGGACAGCAGTGCAGGAGCAGGGCCCAGGTGAGGCCAGCAATTCCCTGTATCATTCCTAGAGCCAGTGCTGAGGAGCTTTTCTCTGCAGTGATACTGCAGAGATGGTGGGTTACATTCCATCGGTACATGGGTGATTTAATCCTGCTTTGTACCTGCTGGATGCAGGAGAGGGGAATCTCCACTCCCACTTGGAACGTTCTCACAAGCGGAGAATGGGAGCAGCAAGGTGCGGATTCCCAAAGCTCCAATCAGTTGATATTGCTGAGCAGGATCCTTTATCACTCCTGTTTCCAGAATGTCTCCTGATGAGTGTTTGGTGCTAATTCTGGTTAAGGAAAATCAGATGTTGTTTCAGGACTGGGGATTTGGTTTATTCACGTATAAATTTCAGCTTGCAAATGCTTTTGAGTTCCCTTCATGGCCCTGAATTTCCTCGTTTGAGTTTGAGCCCGTGGTTGGCACCTGCAATAATTGCAGCAGTGCTGGGCATGGCTACACAGTTTTCTACCCCACTACCTTTTCACTCTGCCAGTGTTGCTGGAGGCCAACCCCATTTTTTGTGCGAAGTAGGTAAATCAGGTTACTTAGAGCACGTTCTTCCAGTCCCCAGCAGCTTTTACTGTCCTATTATTCACCCTCTGCTGCCATCGTGGGGCCACTTTGTCATTCCGACCTCTTCTCTGTCCTCTCATCCAGACTCTCATGGCAAACTGAGCTTCCCCAGAGCTCGGGGGCATTTTAGACCCATTGAGGTTATTTGCAAAGGAAGGGAAATCACATTAGTAATTTTTAGTTCCCTACAGGTTGTTCAGCCTTTATAAACCTTCTTTCTTCCTTGCCTTGCTCCTCCATGGGTTTTCTCAGCTGTGGGTGTTTGGCAACACCAGGAGCCCAGGTTGAAGTGCCACCACCATTCCCATGTCACCTTTACCTGCAGCATTTGAGACGAACCAGCTCCAACCCCCAGCAATGGCAGGGAATATATTCAGGATGTTTTCCATGTGTGTTTATGTATGCTGCTTTTTTAGAAGCTGTGACAGAGTCTGTCCTCAGCACACCTTTCCCAGGTGAAACCACAGCTCAAAAGGTGTTGTCCCCTCATGCAAGAGTCAGCCCTGATCCTACTGAGCAGACAACAGTTGCCCTATAAAAGTGACATGTCATTCAGCCAAATCACTGGGGCACACATGGACTCACCGACAGATCCTGGCAATTGCAAACACAGCCCAAGCCAGCATTAAAAGAGAAGAACAGGAGATTAAGCTCCTATCAAGAGGTAATTAAAGCTGGAAGATAATGATGACAATCACAGTGGATCAATTGGTACAGGGATGTTTGCCCAACAAACGACTGTCGTTAGAGACAGAAGCAGGAATTATTATCCATCAGCAGAAATAGTCCATGGAATTGCTGTGAATGACCCTGTCAGGTAATTAAAGGGGCATTCCAGCCCCACTGCATTGTTTGCTGTTAATCATGATTGCTCATATTCATAGCTTTACCCAAATAATTGCTCCTGATAAGGGCAGCACATTTATAGGGGTCCATGAGAGGAGTGGGCCAGTGGAGCATCAGCGAGCCACAAGTGACCAGGGTTGGTGAGTCCTGCTGTGCTTCCCCCCTCTTTCAGCTTTGGGGGGTGGATTTCAGATCTCTGAGACTAAAGTTATGCCCAGAAAGAGAAAAGACAAGTTGATCCCCTGGATTAGCAGCTAGAAAGTTTTCGGAGCGGAGGGAAAGTTTGGAGCCAGGGATGAGATTTAAAATGGGCTCTTAAGCAGGGTTCTCCCAGAGAAATGCCATCCCAGGGATAGCACAAGGAAGGCCACAATGCCAAGGTGAGATCCTGGGGGTCAAGGCATTGTGTGGCAGGTGCTGGACAGATGGAAGGACAGGCTCAGGATCTAGGTTCCCCTTCTCCAAGGGTGTTGAGCTCTGGGTTTGGTGGCTGTTCTCAGCTCCTCTGCAGGACTGTGGAGTCTGCCTGGTTTGGACTCCAATAAGAGACTGACCTTGGAAATGTCCTTGTTTTACTATTCCATCTCCTCACAGCTGAATCAGGCAGGAAAACACAACATTAAAGCTCTAAGTGTATGTGAGATGAAGCTTGTGGCTCCTTCATCCTCTCACCTGTTTGCTCTGCAGCCACCATTAAATATTTGTGCTGTGGTTTACACTGAATGAATTTCTGGATAAATCCCCCTTCTTGTCCTTCCTCCTCCTACCTCTTCTCATCTTGCATCACCTCCAGAGAAAGCAAACAGCCCCAGGAGGGTGGCTGGAAAGTGTTCAAGAATCTCTGACAGTCCTTTTGCATTCTTTGTACTGTCTAGTTTCAGAATAAAGTAAAAACCAAGCGGGAGAACTTTGATTTGGGGTTAGCAAGCGCTGCCTGAGAGACTGCAGGACAGTGAGGAAGGCTGGTTTCTTTGCAGGAGGAAGGCAGGTGTGTTATAAATTCCTGATACGGCTCCTGTGTGGTCCTTGGGGAAAGGTGAGCACCCTCTTACAGGCACATACACACCTCTGCAGGCACAGAATAAAGGGGGGAAGCATGCAGTGGCTTGGGATAAACAAAATGTACTTTTCTTTTTATTTCAGTAAGAAAACAAACTAGGGGGGTCTGCAGTGACTGAAAATGTTTTTTATTTCTTTTTCCTTCTTGAAAGATTAGAGGATAGGCAGATATGGGCACACACGTGAGCCCTTCCCTTCCCCTGTGTGTGGATGGATTTTATTTGGCACATGACATTTTTTTCACAGATGTCTCCAGCTGTTTATCTCTGCTGGCAGGAATTCCTGCCCACTTTAATGACTGTGGTGGTATTTCTACAGCCCCATCTCTGTGAACTGCCCCAGGCACACCCCAAGGGCACTTGTCCTGCTGCTCACAGAACCTTGTGCTTTATTTCAGGAGAGGACATGGTTTCCATGATGACGACTCTGTGGCAAGTCATTATTCCCATGATTGTCCTGTCCCACTTCTCAGCATCTCTGCCATCCCGGGAGAGGTGAGCATTCCTTGGGACTCTGCCTCATTTTTCTCCACGGTTTTTGTTCAAAGAGCCTGCTGGTTGTAAACTCAGCCTTTTATCTGCCTTCCTGAACTTGCATCTGCTTGGCTGTGGATTTTGGCTTCCCTACATTGATTTAGTTAAATGAGTGCAAATGTTGTAAAGATTTTTTTTTTTATTGCTTGAGAATGGGAATGTTGATTTGGCTTAATGAAAGAGAAAATTCATGACCCCAAACAGAACCAAGTAAGTTAAAAAGTCGCTTTGGAGTCTGTTTTCCTGCTGTGTAGTTACACAGCCTGATAGAGGTGGAAGTTTATTTCCAATAGCCTGGTCCCATGGAATCATAGCCAGAAATAGCCAACACTGTAAGTTCACCAAGTTCACCAAAGGAGTCACTGGCAAGGGCTGGTCTTTGTCACCACTGCCGTTATCTACCTGTTCCTCAGGTTTGTGCCTCTGGGTGTTTCTTTATTACTTCTCCAGCCTCTTGCCCTACTCTTTTGTGCTGAGCCAGCACTAACCTCACATTCTCACATCCTTGTGGCAAGGTGATTACGTCACTAAAAGCAAGTGCAGGTCGATTTTCTGTTTGATGGTTAACACAGATATTATTTTAGACTCCCATAAGGTTTTCCCTTTTTTTTGGTGAAACTTTGCCAAAATAGCACAAATTCTTGCCTGTGTGTGTTTGGGACCCTCTTTCCTTGAGGGAGCAGTGTTTAATGCCCATTCTTGTCTGGTTTTAAGCCTCTCCTCCCTCTCAGTCCCCCCAGGATGGAGCGACATGCTGACGGGCTCTTCCACAGCGAGCTCAGCAAGATGAACGGCAACGCCTACGTGAGGCAGCTGGTCAGACACCTGGTGGGCCTCAAGGAGAGGTGAGCACCAGCCAAACCCACCCTGTGGGGCGAGGGAGTCTCCAGAGGGAGAGGGATCCCAGCCCCGAGGGCTGCCAGGGGCTGAGCAGCCGCTGTCCGTGTTCCCCTGGCCCAGGTCCCAGCGGCACTCGGATGGGCTGTTCACCAGCGAGTACAGCAAGATGAGAGGGAATGCCCAGCTGCAGAAATTCATCCAAAGCCTCATGGGCCGCAAGCGCAGGTGAGGGGAAACCTCTGGAAGCCCCCATGCCCCCCGTGGCTCTCACTGCCACACTGGGCCCCCTGTGAACCACGTCGGTGACACCACAGCAGCAGACACGGGGCACGTGCTGCTCTACAGCTGTGGTGCTTACACTGTTGTGGTTTGGGGGTTTTAATTATTCTTAATTGTCTTTAATTATTCTTAATTGTTATTTTAATTATTATTAATTTCCAGCTCTCCTGGCCCGGTCAACACAGATGTGCAGGAGAGAGAGGGAGAGAACAGCCCTGTAGAACTTTGCTTTCTCTGGTTGTACCAGAGCTTTCTGAACACCAGGTAGGTGGGACAGATTTGTTCCCTCTGTGGCCCTGAGCCCCATAGTACTGAAGCCAAAAGTTTTTATAAAGCCAAATGCTTTTATAAATGGCCCTAGAAAAGCCAGTTATTAAAAATTATAAGACCCGTGGAAATGAAATAAGATATTTTTCTAATCATAGAGTTGTTATCCTGGACTGCAGTAATTATTCATCCCATTAGGAAACCCAACCTAACAGTTAAAATGGAAAGAAAACCCTTGCTACCCTGTCAAACACACTCCTGAGGATCCTAGCACCTGGATATTGTCTTTTCCTAGTGACCAACCACTTTCACTTAGTCATCTTGCTCTTAAATCCCTAAAATTAGGAGGGATACACTGGTCCTTAGTACCTCTTGGCCACAGTGGGGATGAAACCCCGCTGTGCCTTTGTGGGGTGCCTGGCTGCAGGCAGTCATGGTCCCTCTATCCTTGAATTTCACAAGGCAGCTTTGTCACACTTTCTGCAGTCCATGCTCCCAGGAATAAGGGACTCTCCCTCCTTTCTCCCTCCCTGCAGCCTCTCAGACAGAGATGCCTGGGAAGCTGCTGCCACCACCAGCCGGTACATTTGCCCTGTCTCTAAGCCTCTGGTTGCAGACATGAAGGAAGATACAGATGGTTCTGCCTGAAGGTGAAGGGAAAAAACCAGCCAAGTAGACAGCTTTGCATGTGTATGGCCTTGAAAATAAACAGGGAAGCTCTTGAATTTGCTTAGGAAAAACTCTTGAGATTGGCAAATAAATAAAAATAATTGCGGAAAGCAGCCAAAACCCGATGAAACCTCTTAGATTACCCAAAGTGAAATGTGTGTGGGTGTGAACTGCTGTCAGTAGATGGAGCCTGGGTGAAGCACATCCCTTCCACTGTGTGTTGGCATCTGGCTGCCTGCTGCTGATCCCAAATAAAGATTGGTTAGCTGTGCCTGTGCCTTGGCTCCTCTTCGGGAAACTGGAAGAAGGGTGGTACCTTATCCTTGGAATGCAGGGTCTGGGGAGGAGCACTGTGCTGGGATCCCCCACACGAGGCACATTGGGAGTGCCCACTGTCCAGCTGTGCACAGAGTCAGAATCCATGGAGCAGGAACTCAGCCAGGTGTTAGATTCTGTGGCAAAGAAATGTTCTGAGAGCTACACAACAGAGATACTCACTGTAAATGTTGTTTCTGCTCCATTCTGCCCCTGGATTTGCTGACCCAGCTTTCTCAGAGCCACTAAAGATAGAGCTCCACGTGGAGGAATTTGTTCCCACCACTTAACGAGGTTTACATGCTGTTGACATGCAGATTCCCTCCTCTGATAGAACAGCCACTCCAGCTTTCCTGTAAAACCAACAGATTCTGGAGAGCAGCTCTAAAATAAGGATCTTCAGCTGCAGTCCTGTGCCAAGCACAACCCTGCTCAGCCCATCCTGAGCACTTTTCACCATCTATAATGTACCTGACACCTGCAAAGGAGCCCTTCCCACTCCAGTGCTCACCTAAGCACCATTCCCTTACTGAGGGGCTGAACAAACCTCAGCAGTTGTTTATTTTGGTCCATAGGAAGTCTCTGCTAGGAAAGATTCCTCTTGGAATACTTTTGGAAGGAGTGTTGACAGCCTGGATTCCACTGAGCCACTAACAGCCACTTGGCTGAGGTGCAGCAGATGAGAGCCTTCTGAAATCAGCTGGGTATTTAAAAGAATCAGTGAGAGCAGAGGTCCCCTGGAAAGGGATTTTTGGAGTCATTCCTACAAGGAGCCACTGCTGGCCACTGGTAGAAGGAGGTGTGTTTTCCCTACAAAGTTGCTGGGCAATTCCTGGGCTGCAGAGCCTCGTCCCTGTCGGGATCTACTCTACTCACCTTGTGGGATACAGACCCCATCTCTGGCACATCAGAAACCTTCCCACTGGGAGAGCCTGGAGAATACAGGCAGCTTCCCAAGTGCCAGCCCTTGTCCTTCATGCTCATCTCAGGGGGGAGGGCTTGGCCCTGAGTTCTGAAATGCTTCAAATACATTCTTGTTGCCACGAAGAGTTCAGGATAGGAGAGAGACCCAGGGAAAAAAGAAGAAATAGGAATGTATGTGTCATCATGTTCCATGACTGGTAAATCTTTCAACAACTCACCCAATGAGGCAAGGAGGCAAAGGTTGAAGCTCAGCAATCCAGGTCCAGTCGCTGTTTCTGCCGTCACAAAGCCGTGAGCGCAGGAGACGGCACCGGGAGAAGCGGGGAGAGAGGATCAGCTTAGCTGGGGACAGGGATTCTTCAGCGACTGGCAGCTCCCCATGGGTGTTTCTCGCTGGCTCCTCACACCTCTGCTCGTCCTGCTGCCTCTCATGACATGGGTTTCAGCACAGCAGCAAGGTAAGCTCCTGCAGGAGGTCCGTGGGCCCTGGGAGTGTCCCCAGGCAGCGGTGGATTACGGCTGGGAGTCACTCAGCGATTTCACCCCAGGGGGATCAGAGAGGTCTTGGCTCTCACCAACTCCTTCCCAGTGGGAATCCCCAGGCAGCTTCCCATCTCATGTGTGTGTCTCTTTCCAGGATGTTCTGTCAGCAACAGCAATCCAAAAGTTCCTGAAAACAACCCTGTTAACTACGTGGTGACCACCATCCATGTGGAGACAGGCTTCACCGTCAGCATCGACCCCCGGTTCCCCGACGGCAGCTTCTTCACCATCCAGGGGGATGAGCTGCTGCTCACAAAGGTGGTGGACTATGAGGTGAGTCAGTGTCTGAAGGGACAGACAGGAAGGGTGGAGAGGGGCTTTGGACAAGGAGTGACAGGATGAGGGAGAATGGCTTCACACTGCAGAGGGCAGGGTTAGGTGGGATATTCGGAAGAAGTTTTTCCCTCTGAAGGTAGGGAGGCCCTGGTACAAGTTGCTCAGAGAAGCTGCCCCATCCCTGGAAGTGTCCAAGGCCAGGTTGGACAGGGATTGGAGCCACCTGGGATGGGGGAAGGTGTCCCTGCCCATGACAGGGGATGGGACTGGATGAGCTTTAAGGTCCTTTCCAACCCAAACCATTCTGTGATTCTATGACCTTGTGTGAAGCTGAAAGGCAGCATAAAAGGTCACTGTTCATTTAGGTTGCTGCTACATTCTTTTACCTCCCTGGAGTGCTCTGTGTACAGCCACAAGCATCATTAAGTTCCCTTTCAATGTAAACCCCCACATTTATTTGAGTCAAGAGCAGCAGCCAGAGTTAACACCCTGCAGGTGACACTGTACTTGCCACATGGAACATTTCTGATTCATTCAATTTAAAAAGAAATCTCTGTTTGAATTCACCTGAAGTGGGAGAAAATGACAGGTTAGCTCTGTCAGCATCTTACAGGAGATGCAGGGAGAGAGGCTGGAAGGTTGGGCTGGTTTGACTCCGTCCCAAGATCCCAGCACCAAGGAAAGAAAGGAAAAGTTAGGTACACCTGAAAACAAGATAAACCCCATCAGCATTTCTGATTCAGCAAGGCATAAATTTGGGTCATTTGCTTTGGAAGGAGTTTGCACACGTTGGCTGTTTCTGCAGTGGTGGGTTTGTGTTTCCTGCAGGAAGACCCCCTGCTGGTGGTGTACCTGAACTGTGAGGACTCTACTGGCCAGGTGAGCCCCAGGATGAGGGACTGCAACCAGCACGTGCTTCCCTCTGCTCTTCCCACACAGGCATGGGGAGATGTCCTTCTCCCTGTGGGCACACACACTACGCTCCCAGCCCCATCCAGCCCCCACCCAGCTCTGCTCCTTACACCATCCCCTCTGGTCACTCTGCAAACCAGGAGCAGCCCCAACAGCCTCTTTCTGGCTCTGATCCTCTCCCTTTGCCTGTTCTGCAGAGTAGTTCTTTGGAAATCATTGTCACCATTCTCAACGAGAACGACAACGATCCGCAGTTTCAGCAGCCGAATCTCACCAGGTCTGTCCGAGAGGTGAGTGTGTCTTGGAATGGAAGAGGGCACTGGGTCACTCAGTGCTGTGGGACTGAGGAAGGGTCAGCAGGAAGAGGCCTCAACCCATTTCACACAGAGAATAACCCCAGCAATGTGTTTTTTCAGGATACAGAAGTGAATGCAACCATTGTAGCCCGTGAAGATTTAACCGCTACTGATGCTGACCTGGACGTCATCTACTATGAACTCACAGCCACAGTGCAGGTGAGCATCTCTGGGCAGAAACAGTAGCTCTGGAGAAGCTTGATTCAGAAAAGCCCCAGTTCTCAGGGCAGAAGTCACTGCATTTAGCTCTCATCTTTTACAAACCCCAAATATTTATTTGGTTAACAGAACAGTGCTGTAGGTATTGAATTCTCTCAGTGCTCACCCTTTTATTGCACTGTGCAGATTAAACTTTCATCTGGGATATTCAGAGCCATAAAACTCAGGGAAGTCTTGTTGGGATGATCTGTAAACATATCAGGAGACCTTTGTACCTCAGGGAGCTCAGAATTGCACTGAGTCAGATGGGAAATGGAGTCCTTGCCCTGTTTGCCAAAGGCAGCAGAGGAAATGGGTTGTGCACACAGTCCCTGATGCCAGCCTGGAGTGCAAGGGCTGGCTAGAAACTAAAAATAAAAGCAAAATCAAGAGAAACCCCAAATGTATGTTTGCACTTTTGAAAAGCATTGTGGAGGGAGCAGACAGTGCCTGACACTCGCATCCATTACCTCCATTACCCCAGGGGCTGGGAACAGAAACCACCAGTTTCTGCATTTCAGCTCTGGGAGCAGACTTTGCATTCACATTGGTGTAAATCGAGAGGATTGAGAAACTCAGAGGAATTGTAGACAAGGCATAAGATTAAAGGAGAGCCAAAGCAAATGCAGAAGGCTACAGAGTAAATTGCAACGTACGTTACTTCAGTTTGGCTTTACAGTGTCTTCCAAAGTCCAGACCAAAAATGAAGGCTTGTTGGCAACCTGTTGAGTGTAGGAAATAAATGAGGTAAGAGATTTCATCCAGGAGGAGGAACACACCTTTTGACAAGCCAGGCAACTCCAGTGTGCAGTACCAAAGATTAAATAGATCCAGCATTCCCACACTGCCCCCCTAACCAGTTCCCCAGGATTAAAGGTACAATTGAGATGACAAACAGCAATGAGCAGGATTTGAAACATGTCTGTGACTGAGTCTGCTATAGCATTTTTCCTTTTCCCTTGCCAGGGCACAGACGGTTATTTTGCCATAAAAGGAGCTAATAACCCTGAAATTTATTTACAAAAAGCACTGGACTATGATAAATTTCAATCAACAAGGTTGCTGTTGTATGCAAGGGTAAGTCCCTGGGGAGGAACAGAATGCTTTGTTAGCCCAGTGTCTTTTACCTGAAGGGTGAGTTTGGATGGGAGATCTCTGGGGTGGCAGAGGGAGGGTGGGTGGTGGGCTTGGAGCAGCCTTTCACCCTCCACAATTGCAGGCACAGACTTGCAGTCAGCCCACCTTTGCCAGCAGAAGCAGACAACCCACTGCTTTAGCCAATCTCACATAAATTGCTAAGCCTTAAACAGTGGAGTGACAAGTGCTAAAGGACCCTGGGCCACTGCTTGTGGCAGGTGGGCCCTTCTTTTGGCAATAAAACTGATGTCTCATGAGTGTGCTTTGCCTTTGGCTCCAGGACAGGCCCGTGGGCAGCACCGACCTCACCAGAACAGCTACTGCAACAATAACCCTCCTGATCACCC